GGAGACTCGCTTGAGCCCAGGAGTTGGAGGTTGCTGTGAGTGTGATGCCATGGCACTCTACCCAGGGGGATAGCTTGAGGCTCCGTCTCAAAAAAAAAATAAAAAAATAAAAAAATAAGTTTAAGCCACTGGGTCTGACCTTTTTTTTTTTTTTGGAGACAGTCTCAAGCTGTCACCTTGGGTAGAGTGCTGTGGCGTCATAATGGCTCACAACAACCTCAGACTCTTGGGCTTAAGTGATTCTCTTGCTTCAGCCTCCCAAGTAACTGGGACTACAGGTGCCCACCATCACACCCGGCTATTTTGTGGTTGGAGTTGTCATTATTGTTTGGCAGGCCTGGACTGGATTCAAACCCACCAGCTCTGGTGTATGTGGCTAGAGCCCTAGCCACTTGAGCTATAGGTGCCAAGCCACTTTTTTTTTTTTCCTTAAAGAGATGAGTTCTCACTATGTTGCCCAGGTTGGTCTCAAACTCCTGGTCTCAAGTGATCCTCCTGCCTTGGCTTCCCAAATTACAGGTGCATGCCACCATGTCCAGCTGAGTAACTTTTTTATTCAATGAACAAATGAATGAGTAATGAATTTACCTAGGTTTTGAAAAAAACAAGTTGCCTGAATTAGTTTATAATAGAGCTGATTCCCACTACTGGATGCTGAGAGCTGGCAGGAAGTGAATGAAAGAACACAGAGATTTCTTTCTTTTTTTTTTTTTAGAGACAGTCTCACTTTGTTGCCCTCAGTAGAGTGCAGTGGCATCACAGCTCTCAGCAACCTGCAGCTCTTGCCTCAGCCTTCTGAGTAGCTGGGACCACAGGCGCCCTCCACTACACCCGGCTATTTTTTTGTTGCAGTTTGGCCAGGGCTGGGTTTGAATCTGCCACTCGGTACATAGGGCCAGCGCCCTACCCACTGAGCTATAGGTGCCGCCCAAGAGAGAGATTTCTTTTTTCTACTTTTTTTTTTTTTGAGACAGAGCCTCAAGCTGTTGGCCCTGGGTAGAGTGCTATAGCATCACAGCTCACAGAAATCTCCAACTCCTGGGCTCACGCCAATCTCCTGCCTCTGACTCCTAAGTAGCTGGGACTACAGACGCCCACCACAACACCTGGCTATTTTTTGGTTGCAGCCGTCATTGTTGTTTGGGGGGCCTGGACTGGATTCGAACCCGCCAACTCAGGTGTATGTGGCTGATACCTTAGCCGCTTGAGCCACAGGCGCCAAACCAAGAGAGATATTTCCAAACAGACTAAGATAACAAGAAAAAATTATTTATGCAAATGTTTGCCATTCAAAACTATTTTGCCTTGGCTCAGTGCCTGTGGCTAAAGTGCTAAGGCGCCAGCCACATACACCTGAGCTGGTGAGTTCGAATCCAGCTCCGGCCCGCCAAACAACAATGATGGCTGCAACCAAAAAACAGCTGGGCAATGTGGCGGGTGCCTGTAGTCTCAGCTGCTTGGGAGGCAGAGGCAGAATTGCTTGAGCCCAGGAGTTAGAGGTTGCTGTGAGCGGTGATGCTACAGCACTCCACCCAGGGCGATAGCTTGAGGCTCTGTCTCAAGAAAACAAACAAAAAAAACTATTCTGCCTCACCCTGGTAGCTAAGGATTGTGAAAGTAGAAAATGGAGGTCTCAAATTCCATTCTCCAGTGTTAGACCACTGTATGATTATTAATATTGTTCCATAGTATAAGTGTATATTTTTAGAGCATCTGCTAGGCACTGTTGGGCACTAAGGATATAGCAGAAAACAGGTCAGACAAGGTCCTTCATGTCATACATGTACATTCTAATGGAGCAGACAGAATAATAAGTGAATAAGGGTAATTAATGCAGTGAAGAAAATACAGCAGAGTAGTGATACTAGTGTATGATAGAAATAAGCAATATTGGCTGGACACCTGTAGCACAGTGGTTACAGTGCCAGGCACATACAGCAAGGGTGGTGGGTTCAAACCCGGCCTGGGCCTGCTAAACAACAATGACAACTGCAACAAAAAATAGCTGGGCATTGTGGTGGGCACTTGTAGTCCTAGCTACTTGTGAGGCTGAGGCAAGAGAATCGCTTAAGCCCAAGAGTTGGAGGTTGCTGTGAGCTATGACACCAAGGCAATCTACCAAGGGTGACATAGTGAGACTCTGTAAAAAAAAAAGCAATATTAGATGGTCTGATTGGAGGAGTCCTCATTGAACTGAGCCTTCAATGATAAAGACATGACCATGGCAGCACCTGTAGCACAGTGGGTAGGGCGCCAGCCACATACCTCCAGGCTGGCATGTGCGAGCCCAGCCTGGGCCAGCTTAACAACAATGACAACTGCAACAAAAAAATAGTTGGGTGTTGTGGCAAGCTCCTGTAATCCCAGCTACTTGGGAGGTTGAGGCAAGAGAATCGCTTAAGCCAAAGAGTTTGAGATTGCTGTGAGCTGTGATGCCACAGCATTCTGAGGGCGACATAGTCAGAATCTGTCTTGTACATATATACATAAATTAATAAAAATAAAGACATGATCATGGAAAAGACCAGGGAAAGGGCATTCCAGCCACCAGAGAGCAAATGAAAAAGCCCTGAGTTGAGAGTAAGTTTATTGTGCTAAACTGAGATAAGGGAGTTGGGTCTAGGGAGGTGATCTGATTTATATGTTAACTCTGCTTTTAGGCCCTCAGGCTTTTTCGCATCTGAAGATCACCTGTCGTGGTGGTTTCTCCTCCTAGGCAGTGTTAACTACTTTTTAAAAACTAAAGAACATCAATATACAGTACAGGACAAGGACTAATAAAAACATTAACTTTCTTTGTCTTGAGCTGGAATTATGTCAGCCTGACATAATTTTTGACAGTAATAGCCTGTGATGATGAAGAACTTGACAGTACTGATTACTTGGTTTGGAGAAACAAAAAACATTAAAGATGGAGAAGAAGGCTGAACCTAAGGAAACTTGTTAGATGAGATTTGTGTATTGGGAGAGATCATTAAAAGGAAGTCCTTGGGTTCTCAGTAGGTTAACCTAGACTGAGCACATGACTGCCGCAGTTCTACTGTTAGGTTTTAGCCATTGAGTACAGGTGTTCAAACAAAAATGTACTTGTGAATGTTCATAGTATTATTCATAGTAGCCAGGAGAAATAACCCAAATGTCCATCAACTCATGAGCCAATAAACAAAATGTGGTCTATCCATACAGACTATTTGGTCTGAAAGAGGAATGAATTGCTAATAGTCACTATAACATGAAGGAACCTTGAAAACATGCTAATTGAAAGAAGCCAGATAGAAAAGGCCATATAGAACTGACAAATCTACAAAGCACCCAGATTAGTGTTTGCTGGGGCTAAGAGGACGACTGGGAGTGACTACTTAATGGGTACAGAGTCTCCTTTCGGGGTAATGAAAACGTTCTGGCACTAGACAGTAGTGTTAATGCACTAAATCCCACTGGATTGTAAACTTTAAAATGGTGAATATTGTGTGAATTTTACTACAGTCAAAACAAATGTCTTGGTCCTGACAGTTTAGAACCCAAAGATCTAGCCCAGGCGTCCTCAAACTGCGGCCCACCTAGGATGTTTATCCAGCCCGCTGGGTGTTTTTGCCACCTCTGCCTGTCCTGCTTAGCAGCCAACTCATCCTGGGCCCGCAGTCCGGCCCTCCAACAGTCTGAGGGACAGTGAACTGACCCCCTGTTTAAAAAGTTTGAGGACTCCTGATCTAGCCAAAGAGAACTATGCATCTAGGGAGAGGATACTGTCCTAAGCCTGGTCTCTCACCAAGCCCTGAAATTGCTAGATTTAAACTTTGGCCTTCCTAGCCAAAGTTTGTGTCTTCCATGGTGCCAACTCTGTTGTAGATAGTTTAGTCTGTATTTGTCAGATTTCTGGTTCACTTATTAGAGAGGACTTCCTGGGATCATAGGCATGACAGGAACCAGTGTAGTGTGCTGAATTTACTTAGCCTTCTTGAAAGAACACTGGAGAAGGCTTTAGTACATCTGCTGCTTTGTTCATTCTGGACAGGGGCTGTAAATATCCGTGATTAGTGTGAACAAGTACTCCTGTACTTAGCGGGGCACTCACTAAATTGTTAACATGAATCAGTTGGTAAATGAATATTAGTTTGTGAGAGCTTGTCTCCCTTGTGGGATTGTTTCCACTCTGTTTCTTAAACAGGGGCCCCTTGGGAAGGGGAATTAGCCCCCAAAGGTCCTGGAACACCCCACTTGCTCAGCTCTATACACCTTCAGGTCATTCCCAAAAGCAAGTTCGTCTTGGTGAAGTTCGACACACAGTACCCCTACGGTGAGAAGCAGGATGAGTTCAAGCGTCTTGCTGAAAACTCGGCCTCCAGCGATGATCTCTTGGTGGCAGAGGTGGGGATCTCAGGTATGGACAAGTCCAGGACAACTGGGGAGGGCAGCAAGGGAGGAAGCTAGGAATTGTTTCCCTATTTGGAAGGAGAATTTCCAGTACTTTTTCTTCTGAGCCGCCCTCAGAGTATGAGTGGGTTCATGGCTTCTCAAAGAATCTGGTGCCCATGGTAAGCTTAGCCTGAGCTGATTCTGGGACCATGATGCCTTGCAGGTATTTCCTCCCTAAATCGTTAGGAACTTTGAGCTTTCCTTGCAGGAAGCACTGGGCAGAGCGGGTGCCAAGTTCCCTAGGGGATAGCACTATTGGGTCTTCCATCTTCCTTTCAGCTTTTGTAAACAAAACCATTGGGTTTTTTGCTTTAGAGCAAATGCACTGGTGCCACCACTAATTCAAGGGCACCTCTCAAACACAGTGACAACTTTAATAATAGTGGCCAACATTTAGTAGTTCTACAATGTAAAGATCTGTATAAACATTGCATTCTTTTTTTTTTTTTTTTTTTTTTTGAGACAGTCTTATGTCGCCCTCAGTAGAGTGCCATAGCGTTACAGCTCACAGCAACCTTAAACTCTTGGGCTTAAGCTATACTCCTGCCTCAGCCCCCCAAGTAGTTGGGACTACAGGCACCTGCCACAACACCAGCTATTTTTTTTTCTGTAGAGATAGAGGCTTACTTTATCGCCCTCAGTAGTGTACCATGGTATCACCCAGCTCATAGCAACCTCCAACTCCTGGGCTTAGGCGATTATCGGGCCTCAGCTTCCCGAGTAGCTGGGACTACAGGCGCCTGCCACAACACCTAGCTATTTTTTGTTGCAGTTTGGCCAGGGCCGGGTTTGAACCTGCCACCCTTGGTATATGGGGCCAGCGCCCTACCCACTGAGCCACAAGGCACCATCCAACACCAGCTATTTTATTGTTGCAGTTGCCATTGTTGTTTAGCTGGCCTGGGCCAGGTTTGAACCCACCATTCTCGGTGCATGTGGCTGGTGCTGTAACCACTGTGATTTGGGCGCTGAGCCAACATTGCATATTTTTTTAAAAAACAGATGAGGTCTCTCTCACTCACACTGGAATTCTAGCTCACTGCAGGCTTAAACTCCTGGGCTGAAGAGATGGATCCTCAGCCACCCACCTTGCCAAGCTAACTTTATTTTTCTAGAGATGGGATCTCACTATATTGCCCAGGCTAGTTTCAAACTCCTGGCTTCAAGAGATCCACCTGCCTCAGCCTTCCAAGTAGCTAGGATTATAGGCTTGGACTACCCTGCCCTGCACACACTGCATTTTTTTTTTTTTTGAGACAGAGCCTCAAGCTATTGTCCTCCTGGCATCACAGCTCATAGCAACCTCCAAATCCTGTGCTCAAGCGATTCTCTTGCCTCAACCTCCCAAGTAGCTGGGACTACAGGCGCCCACCACAATGCCTGGCCATTTTTTTGGTTGTAGCTGTCAAACCCGTCAGTTCTGGACACACCACATTTTTAATCTTCTCTTGAACCTTGCCTGAGAAGCTGGACGTATTATCTGCATTTTATATGCAAGGAAAAGCTGAAGCCCGAGGGCTTAAATGACTTCTCTCCAACTATGCAGTATAGAGTGACTCATCCAGAACCTCACTTATATTTTGTCCCAGGCAGTGGGCTCTTTCTTTCTTTTCTTTCTTTCTTTTTTTTTTTTTGAGACAGAGTTGCACTTTGTTGCCCTTGGTAGAGTGCCATGGCATCATAGTTCACAACAACCTCAAACTTTTGGGCTCAAGCAGTTCTTTTGCCTCAGCCTCCTGAGTAGCTGGGGCTACAGGCACCCCCCACAATACCTGGCTATTTTTTGGAGATGGGATGTTGCTCTGGCTTGGGCGAGTCTTGAACCCATAAGCTCAAGAAATCCACCCACCTCAGCCTCTAAGAATATTAGGATTACAGGCGTGAGCCTCTGCGCTCAGCCTAGTAAATTTTTTTTTTTTTTGAGACAGGGTGTCACTTTGTCACCCTTGGTTAAGTGTTGTGGCATCATGGCTCACAGCAACCTCAAACTTGTGGGCTCAAGTGATTCTCTTGCCTCAGCCTCCTGAGTAACTGGGACTACAGGCATCCGCCACAATAGCCAGCTATATTTAGAGATGAGGTCTCCCTCTGGCTCAGGCTGGTCTTAAACCAATGAGCTCAGGCAATCCACCTGCCTCAGCCTCCCAAGTGCTAGGATTACAGGCATGAGCCACTGCGCCTGGCTTCTGGTAACTATTAACTTACTAGAAAGTTTGGTCCTGGGTAAAGATAGTACACCTCTCCAAGGTACTTGGGCAATTTTGACTCAAGGCTAGCCCTCTTTGTTGCTTTTAGAATAACAATAATAGCTAACATTTACCAACTATGTACTAGGCCACACAGTATGCTGAGTTTTTACAGTTTTCATCCTTGTTACAACTCTAGAAGGAAGTCCTATGGTATTATTACCCCCATTTTTCAGTTGGAGAAACTAATGACTAGAGAAGTAACTTGCTTAAGATTGCATAACTTAAATGGCAGAGCTAGGATTGGAATCTTAGACTTCCAACATTACCAGTTGTTGGTCTTGGCCATTTGTTCTTGGCAAAGTGTAAGAAACAAGTTGTCACGGCATCAACCCTAGGACGCTATTGTCTGTGCAAGGAAGGACATTGGAAATACTGACAGCAGCTTACCACATGTTAAGCACTTAACTCTGCCAGGTCTCGTATATGTTTCCTCATTGGTTCCACCCAACATCCCGCATGTGGCTTTATTCAGTATCTACCACATGTTCCTTTTTCTCATGAAGCCTCAACCAAATTGGCCTTTGTAATCCTTATGTACACTGAGTTCAATTCTGTCTCAGAGTTTATTCACTCGTCCTTTCTAAGAGATACTCCTACCAGATCTTCACATGGCTTGCTCCTTGACATCTAGGTTCCTCAGCTGATTTCTGTTCCATGAGGAGGCCCTAACAAAGTCACTGTCATAACATACTGCCATGTTATTTTCATCATGACACTAATAGTTTGTATTTATTATATTTCTTACTGCCCTTTGAAAAATAAAAGCTCCTTTAAGTCAGAGAGGTTGATATATTCAATCAAAATTAGATCCCCAGAACTAAGAGCATATCTAGCACATAGTGGGCATATAGTAAATATTCAGAACAATCCCCATTTTTCAAATGAAGAAAGTAAAGTTGAGATAGGTTAAATGACTTGACTAATGCCACATGGATAAGAAGTGGCAGAGGTGGCTCGGCGCCTATAGCTCAACTGGCTAAGGCGCCAGCCACGTACACCTAAGGTGGCGGGTTCAAATCCCCAGCCCGGACCTGCCAAACAAC